TCAAGAGATGGTACTTCAATAAGTTAGATAAGGACATTCCACGTGTTTGAGTGAGACCAGAAGATATTGTAAGAAGTTCATTTAGAGATATCACTGACACTGAAGAGTTTGCTTTATCGACCTTGTATAAATTTGGCCGACCTTTCAGCATCCTCTTAAGGGGGGAGCCTGATGTAGCATGCTGAAAAATTAGGTGTTTTTTGGAATTTTTTTAGAAAACTACACAACCAATCCTTTTGAACTTTACAGGGTAGTTTCTTATACTATTGAACTAAAAAATATTTTTTTGCCAGAAAAAAGTATTTATTATGCAAGTAATAATAACTTTTTATTTGGCGCGTCGGCGGTGTTTGGCGGCGTGCAATGTAGTCACTTGTATTTGTCTGAAATAAAAAATCCAGAAAAGATTATTGTCAAAAGTTATCAAGAGTTTACGCATTAACTGAACCTATTTTTAAAGAAAATGCGAAATTGTAAAAATCGCGACATTTAGAAAAAAAAGTAGCGATTTTGATAAAAAATTTTTCATGTTTATTATTCAATAAAAATTATTTAATTAAATAATATTATAAACTGTAGTTCAAGTTATTAGGGAAGTATTTGTGCAGATGTGTGCAAAGACCCAAGTTAATCGGATGAATTATAGTTTTTGAATTATCTTGTATGCTGCCAAACACCATCACCGCCGAATAAATGTTATTATTACTTGCATAATAAATACTTTTTTCTGGAAAAAAAATTTTTTTGTTAGTTTAATAGTATAAGAAATTACCCTACAAAGTTCAAAAGGATTGGTTGAATAGTTTCCTTAAAAAAATTTCAAAAAAGTCACCTAATTTTTCAGCATGTTAAACCGGACTTCCCCCTTAAGGCTCAAGATTTGTCTACAAAAGTAAGTTTTTTTTGCTTCTTCTAAAGCTAAGCTCTAGCTTAAATTTTGGATAGTTGAAGTTGATTTTGGATGAGTCATATAAATAAGAGCAAGGCAATGCTCGTTACATAAAACGTGACCTGCTTAAACTTTAAAATTCCCCCTTTTTTAAACTATGATGTACCCTTTCAATTGTTTTGAAAATTAAATATGTTGTATTAGATAAGACAAAAATTTTTTTAATAAGAAATGATTGTAGTGTCTCAAATACATCCATTAAAAAAAATTTGAAATAAAAATTTTTTCAACTAGTTTTTTTAGAAAAAAAATTTCCATAATTTTGTTGAAACATCGCTCCATTGAAATCCTTAATATATATTTTTTTCGTCAAAATCGGTTCATCCATTAAAGAGAAAATTCATTTTATTGATTTTCAATTTTATTCTCATAACTTCTATAAAAAATTATTTCGAATATAATCTTTTTCGAAATTCATTCTTACATCTGCAAACTTATAGTCAAAATCTCAACCGAATTCATGCGGGGACAGCACACATATTTATTCTGCCATGCCCTTTCACACGATCTTTTCAAAATTTTCGAAGTTAATAATTATTCCGTTTATTTTCCGTTCTGAAAATGTTTGGTGATGTGAGAACCCACCTATTAAAAAGCGGAACGGAATTGGAACGGAATTACTCCGATTAGCTTATAACTTCCACCATATCTCTTTTCCGTAACTATTCCGTTCCGCTGTTTTTTTTCTTCGAATGGGAATGCAGCCTAATACTTACTTTTTACTATAATTTGTTATTATACATCAACCTTAATACACACAATAATTGTTAAAACATGCAACAACAGCCGCTCATGAAGTTAGCGCAGCGAGAGAACCAATCATAATCACGGAAAAACGTCAACAATAAATTCAAGAAGACCAATACCAATAGTATTGATTTAACATGTCCTTTGTTTAGATAGATAGAAAAGACATTGAATGATATGTATACTTTTATCAAAATATAAGATAAAGGACATAAACTTAATATTTGTCTTTTAGTATGTAAAATAATAGCACATTCACATGCATACACAAAGAATCGATTTGTAGAGAGTTTATGCTAAACTGGTAAAATACAAATAAGTTATCTGTACAGCACGAAGTCGACTGTTAGTCGGCTGCCAGTCGGCAGAAGAAGTCTAAAGTCGACTTCAAAGTCAGACTAAATGTCAACTTATAGCCGACTAACAGTCGACACATGTCTCGACTATAGTCGGTTGTAAGTCAGCCGTGTCAGTCGACTTTAAGTCGACTTTATGGCAACTATAAGCCGACATTTTTTATTTGCCAACTAGGTTATGTCGATTAGGTTGACTTTTAGCCGACAATAAGTTGACTTTTAGCCAATACCATAAGCCAACATTGATTAAGTTATGGTAAAAACCACGCAAGCTTTGTATAACGAGTAAAAAATTAATATATTTTACATTAAACCAATTCCGAGAATATTCTAATTGAAAAATATTAAAAATATCTTCGCCTTTTTCTTAGCGACCATTAGGTACTTATACTCATTATTAGCTTATGTTACAAAAACATTATTTATCTCGCACTAAGTGCATACACGAATAATGTACAAATAATTATGATATGTCCTCGAACTTCGATTTGACATTGGTTATATAGAGGAGCTCGACAAATTTTAAATGTGAGAAACAGATACCAGCAAACGCTATTTAGCGACAGTCTTGTAATTATTCAGTAAAAGACGATTTTAATTTTTTAAAAATGGTTGACTCTAAGTCGACTTGCAGTCGACAGTTAAAGTTGACAAAAACCAACCTAGAAATAGACGGCTTAACGTCGACTTTAATAGTCGGCTTTAACCTGACTGAAAAAAGTCGACTATTAGCCGGCAAACAGCCATTCGTGCTGTGTAGGTAATATTAAAACCGTAAATTAATTATTGTACTTTTATATCTTTGTCAAGACTTAGTTTTTTTACTTATATGACTATTGATTCGACATTTTTTTTATGAGGTATTCTATGTTATTAAAGTGTTAGACTGTTTTTTAAAAATATCCTATAAAATTATTTTTATTATGCGGATGCATATTGTAACGCGAATTGCAGGCATCGCAGCTGTACCGGTAGACTACACGATGCCGATAGCTTATGCGGTTGGCAGTATCTTGGTGATCCTGATGCTCTGTCTGATCTGCCATCGTAGATTGCGCCGGCGATCACGTAATATGCCAATTAATGAACTGCCACCAGAGCGAATTGTTGATGATCGGCGCCATTGTTACCATCATCATGATCTGCTGCATCACCAGCATCAAAATCACGCATCAATGCACAGCTTTAATCAATATCAACTAGAACAGCCAAGTCCAAGCGAAAGTGACGAGGGGGAGGCCGAAGAGCCCGAGCAAGGCGACCAAGAAACTAGCAGTCCTGATAGTGTATGATGCCAATCATAGCGTGTTCTATTTGTAACGTGCAAATCGTTGTTATCGTTGTATACTCAGTAAAAGGAAAAGCTGAGGATCAGTTGCGTGAAGGCGAAAATTGATGCAATGCTACATTTACGCGTTTTATAATATTGCAATGTAAGTTTTCTATATTACAACGTCATATATTAAGTTGTGTGTATGTATGTGTGTGTGTGTGTGTGTGTGTGTGTGCGTGGGCGTGTGCGTGTGTGTGCGCGAGCATGTACAAGTGTATGGTGTGAGAGAGAAAGAGAGGAGATGGGGTGAAGAGGAGTGGGGGGGAAGAGAGGGAGAGAGAGAGAGAGAGAAAGAGAAATATATGTATATAAAGTATATAGGTAAATACTACTACATAATACTAAAAAGGGTAATAATAATAAAAAAATATTATTAGACAAAATTGAAATATTTCAAGAATTATACCTTTCTGATACATAATTATTTTTTTCTACATGAAGGTGTTAGGGAAATTTTATGGTCACCAAGTTTTCATTTTTGAATAGAACTGCATATTTTTGAAGATGCGTAATTATAGTTTGTATGAAAGCGGATTCAATGATTATAATTATTCAAGGTTAACAAAGATTGCAAATTTTATATGTGTGTGTATATGCGTGTGTTTATATGTGTGCATATATATGTACCGCATACAATATACATAATTAACACACATCACTCATACGACTCATGCACGCATGCATGTACGTATGCAGTAAATATTTAGTTTTGAATGACGTAATGTAATACTCAAAACTTAAATGATAACGATAAAAATTATTACGGACAAAAGCTGTATCTTAATAGAGAAAAGGTTTTTTGATACTTTATTTTTGAATGAATTTAAGTTATTTAAGAGATAAAAGGCTAATTAATTTTTTAAAAATAAACATCCATATTTTTAATTATACAATCTTTCCTTACTCTTTAATCCAGACAATTTTTATCTTAAATATTTTTTTATTCATCCAATTTTTTAAGTATTCCAAGAAATTAATAAAATATTACCTATTATTATAAAGATAAATATATATATATATATATATATATATATATATATGTGGTATATTAATGTGTTAAGAGGCTAGCATTAAATGGCAAAATAATATGCACATACATGCTCGCACGTATACAGAATGTTTCATTTTTAATATGTATTATATAATTATAAAATATATCAATGATATCTTGTAAAAGACATATGATAGAAAAAAGTTTAACGCTTGTATAGTAGTTAATGCAACATTAGTTTGTTTAATTCTTTTAATGTTTATGAAATGTACTTTTTGTTTATATTATTAATGTAGCCGTAACTACTTATTATATTTTGTGAACGAATGGAAAGGATCGACAAACAAATAGTGAAGTCTTTTTGCACATGCGGTCATATTCGACGGCATTAATACTTTTGATTGTATATACATGTAAAAATCCAAAAAATATTCAAAACAATGTCCTTTAGACATGTCTGAATAGCAATAGCAAGACATCGTATTTTGGGATGTACGAATATGTATTCTAATCTCGGAGTTACACATATGGATATAAGTAATGTAACATGTACTTCGATATATGTACACATATACATATTGTGTGTGTGTGTGTGTTATGCATATACACATACCTATATATATACATACACATACATATATGTCACATTGAATACTATAAGAAGCTGAAAACGAAGCATATTCTAAACTACTTTAAATAGATCTCGAAATACGCACCAAATACAAAATTATTATTATAACGTAATTTTCATGTTTTGTAGCATTGTGTAAAAAATGGCAAGAGATAAAGGACAGATAATATACAATTTTATATATTGAACTACTGTGTTCAATTTCTTTTTTATATATATATATATATATATATATATATATATATATATATAAGAGACACTCAAGAGACAATTATGTGATATCGGATATATATAAATAATAATGTTATTATAGATAGCGCAATATTGACATGTAATATGCAATCCAAAAGATGAAAATTTTGTTCTACTTCTGTATATTATAGCGCATTATTTCTATACATTATAATATTTATAACATGAATCGAATATGCGCATGAATTACTTTGATCAAAATAAAAATAATTTTCAGCATTGCACTGTTTGCGATTAAAATGATGGATGTTATTTTGTATGTGGCATTGTTACCTTTTATGTACAGGTGCGCTATTATCATCTTGGATATGTTCAAAACAATTCACATAGCAGACTTTATCTGAGAGACGTCCTGGGAACGTCTTTAGGACATAGCTCTGCGCTATAGGAAAATAATCTTCAAATCTTTGAACTTAATCCATTTAGAAAAAAGTTATCACCATAAGACGATCGTTTCTATACTATGTAATTTCTATTGAATAAATTTTTCTCTTATAGTCTCAGCTTTGAAGATATTCAAGGTGGTAATAATTTTTGTTGCTTTATTTTGTATAATCATGCGAGCATTATTTAAAAAATTGCAATGGTATTAGAATAGAACGATGGGAGTATCATATTTATTGTGAATATTAATATTTCTGATGAAGCAAGCATGTCAAAGCAAAATTAATGCCATCAAAGTATTAGTTTTTAATTAATGCCGTACGTAATAAAACCAAAAAATTAGATTATTTACAGTGAGACCAAGGAAACATAAATTTCAAATATTTGAATAGTATTTTTATGATCGCTTTGTGCTTTTCAATATAATATCTTTATAAAGCTAACATCCAAGTTTTTCAGAATTTTAATGTAATATATGTATAGATGGAGTTCTAATTCTTTTTCAACGAGTATTGATCTGAAAAATATGTTTTAAAAAGAATTTTTCAATGTAAAAGTAAGCAGTAACAAAGAAATTGTCAGTTATTTATTAGTTTCACGAAAATCGATAAGTATATCGATAAAAAATAATATCATTTAAAAAATACGATTTAAATGTCTGGAAGACAAAAATTAAATTTAGTCGGATAAAAATAAATGTTTTGCAAAGAAAACAATGTAATTGTGAAAAAAATTATGTTCACTATTATTTAGGTAAAGAAATAAATATAATATTGTAAGAGATTTAGAGATTCACGTAGAAAGTATGCTTACAAGAGGAACACCAGACACGGCCCCCTCCGATTTGGCTGATAATAAAAATATTAATTTTCAGGTTAAATATAAAAAAATACATAATAATACGATGCAATATAAATGAAAAAAAATTAGTAAAAATAAGATTCGAACCAGCAACTCGCAACATTACAGTCAGGCGCCTTACTCGCTATGCCACGCTGCTTGTTGCGGATTCACTCTTACTGATGAGTACATTACCTACATGAAAATCTTTAAATCCGTTTTTCTCACGAATGCTTGAGAGGTGCGTCGTATCCTTTTAGCACAAATTAGTGGCAGTGGTGAACTATTATATGTATAAAATTTAGCCAAATCGGAGGGGGCCATGTCTGGTGTTCCCCTTGTTAGTAGAATTCCCGCCAGAGAGAGCTACAGGATCGGTTAGCGCCAGTGGCTATCTTATGCGCTCTCGCCTTTGAGTATATAGACATGGAGAGGGAATGTTGGCTCGAAAACTGTGTCCAAGATGTGTGCGAGAGAGAAAGGTAGACGAGTAATATTCGTTCTCTCTGTGCATGCGTCAATCATTCGACAGACAGAGAGGACAAAGTATCACGTGGTATACCGCTCGTATACCTTTCTTTCTCGCACTCCTTGCCACTTTTGGACTCACTTGCGGTCTAAAAAGACAAAGGCATTCCACTTCCATGTATTATATACTCAAAGGACCTCGCTCGTGTAAGAATATCATGCCTAAAGCCCCTGATTGATCCCCGAAGAAGTAGTTCCGTGCGCGGACGGAAGTCGACGCATGGGAGGAAGAAGCCGGCGCGTAAATGGCATTCTTTTGTGAGAACTCAACGAAGGAAGCTAAACAAAGTCTTGTCCTTCTTAAAAATCCTTGTGCTCTTCACGTTTCTCCTGCTGGCTCATTTCTTCCCTAAGTCTCCCTCACAGTTTGCCCTCTTCAAGAAATCGCGTGTGTACATAATAAATCTACTCGTCGTGCTGCGATATTCTTACAATATAATAAATTAAATAAATATGAAATTGTATTTTACGAAACAGAATTGTTGAATCAGAGAAAAAGTATTAACCTAATCATTTCTTGTAAAATAATTTAATCACAACGACCAACGATAATATGAATAATCGAGTGCAGACTATTTATGTTCTAAAACATTGTAAGTATTACATACTATTATATTCGGGATGATTGAATTAATTACGCCAGTTGATTAGTGATAATACAATTGATATATATTTAAGTTGACGCATTTATACATAAACTCAGAATAAAGAACTCGCGACGTAACGACAATTTCACGGTGAACATGTGCTGCGTGCTCCAAGCCATGGTGTAAGAAACAAGGTGAATCATTGCGCATAATGGCGTTTGAATATGAAGCACCCAATCAAATTCTGCCCACAAATGTCGCGCGAGATTTAAACGCCGTACTAAGATCGCACTATAAATAATGCTCTAAAAAATCGTGTAATTAATAATACAACAATAAAAAGATATAAAAAGTTAAAAATACATTAAGGTTAATAAAAGGTAAAAATATATAAATGTTATTATGTAAAAGTAATAATAAAATAATAAATACATATTGTATATAATATATGTTATTTATTTTCTTTTATTTGAGTAAGTATATTTTTATGTTCAAAATACGAAATAACTTATCACGTACCTTTAAACGTATCTTTAAATCATAACATGTGTTATTTATTTTATTTGAACAAGTACATTTTCTTTGTTACTTAATCTTTTTAATTTTTTTGCTCTTTTCTTTAATATATTATTTTGAACAATTTCTTGATTTTTTTTTCTTAAACGTATGTATGTTCTAGTACGCACTAGACACGCAACAACTTCTTTAG